AGCATATTTAGAAATGTGAATGTGAGAAATGGGCATTTGAAAGTATTGTACTGGTAAGGCACAAAGTCTACAGATACTGCTGTAGACTTTGTGTTGAAAAGATTAATGTTGGTGGAAAACCTGTATAATTTGTTAAAGAGCCTTACATATGTATTGCCAAATTTCTTGGACAAGAACAGTATATATTTGTATTAAATAGCAATGTTGTGAAATCTGTTCTGTGTTTTGCAGACCGTCAGGCACCTATCATTCCATTGTCTTCCCACTGATGGAACTGGATTTTGTGTAAATGTGTTCATCTGCATTTGTGCAGCATAGCAGTTATGTAAATCCACACTTCTGAAAATGTGCACATCCCTCCAAACTGCCTGTTTTCACAGTTTCGCCTATGGGGAAAATGCACATTTTTGGTTGATGATGTTTTAATTTAAATATTCATCAATGGCTAAATTTGCATAAAATTACAATTAAAATAAAATGGTCCGCTTGTCTATTCAACTCAGGAAAAGCCAGTCTACTGCAGAATCTATGCACTGGAGTCTTAGAAATACAAATTCATTTGAGTCCATTGTGGATTTCTCTGACAGCCCTAGTGTTCAATTAACACAGTCTCTTACAGCCTGGAGATCATTTGTAGCCAGTGTTGTTTATTTGAGCAATAACAGGACATCTTGGAAAGGAGGAGATGCCCTTGGCAACCAGTCTTTTTTCACTGCCTCAATATTGCAATGTAATTGCTACTATCCTGCAACATTCTTTCAGCTAATTCATTAAATGTAGCCTGGCCTTTAAAAGTTAAATGTTCTCAAGACCTCACCTGACGAGCAGCTTCTCCTCTCAGTGATTTTGGACAGAATGATGGTGTGGTGGTCAAACAACTTCTCAAAATGTACCTATTTTGATTCCATGCCTGCTCCCATGACAAACTTAATTTGTCACTTATCTATCAAACTCTAGCCACTTCATATAATCAAACAGTCAGTCTTCTGTGTCTTGTGTTCATTTTTTGGTAAATATAAGACATTATGTTTCCTTCCTTCCTTCGGACAAAATTGTTAGCTGTTCAGAACTTTATCCCACCCTGCCCTTCCTAATTTCTAAACATCCAATTACATCTACTTGGTGTTGGGCGACCGAGACAGATTGGGGATTCTGTTGGTGTACCGTACACCCTTCTGCCCAACAGTCTCCCTGCCTGAGCTGATGGAGATCATCTTGGACCTGGTGTTGAGGACCACCAGGATGTTGGTCCTGGGGAACTTCAATCTCCATGCCGAGACTGGTCTGACCGGGGCGGCTCAGGACTTCATGGACTCCATGACAGTCATGGGGCTGTCTCAACATGTCACCGGCCCGACCCATGAATGTGGACACACTCTGGACCTGGTTTTCTCAATGCGGCAGGAAGAGGGTGGTCTGAGGGTGAGGAATTTATGTCTGACACCCCTGTCATGGTCAGATCACTTCCTGGTGAGGCTTGTGCTCGAGAGTGGCCTCTCTGGATGGATTCCTGAAGGCCCTGGGGGAGTTTCTGGCTGACAAGGCTCTGGTCGAACTGTGGAACGGGGAGATGACCAGGGTTGTTGACACGATCACTCCTAAGCGTCCTCTCCCACCGGGCAGAGCCCACTCTTCCCCCGGGTATACACCTGAATTGTGGGCGATGAAGCAGGCTGGGAGATGGCTAGAGCGTAGGTGGAGGAGATCACAGGATGAATCTGACCGAACACACTTGAGAGTCCATTATCGGGCCTATGCTGTGGCAGTGAGGGTGGCGAAAAAGAATTTCTTTTCCGTTTCCATTGCCTCCTCAAAATGCCGTCTGGCGGAGATTTTTTGAGTGGTGCAAGGCCTGGTTCATCCAGGTTCTAAGAAAGATCTGGTTCCACCCTCGAAGGCCCGCTGTGATGACATTGCCAAGCATTTCAGGGAGAAAATCACTCAGATTCATCACGAGCTAGACTCTACTAGTGACTCAGAGGTTTCTATGGAGACACCAATGCTGCCGTCTGGTCCAAAATTAATGGATGAATTTCAGTTATTGTGGCCTGATGATGTGGACAAGGTGCTTGGACGAGTACGTCCCACCACTTGCCTATTGGACCCTTGTCGTCTTGGTTAATAAATAATTCCAAGCATGGGATTGGGATCTGGATCTTGGAAGTGGTTAACGCCTCTCTGAGGGAGGGTCGGGTACCTGCCCCTTTAAAGGAGGCGGTAGTCCAACCAGTCCTGAAGAAAGCATCACTGGATCCAGAAATGGCCACTAATTATAGACCAGTGGCCAACATCCCGTTTCTGGGCAAGGTGTTGGAGCGGGTGGTGGCAGGACAACTCCAAGCACTCTTGGATGAAACTGATTATCTGGACCTATTTCAGTCCGGCTTCAGACCCGGGTACGGTACTGAATCTGCCTTGGTCGCCCTGTACGATGACCTGTGCAGGGAGAAGGACAGGGGGAGTGCATCCCTGTTGGTTCTTCTGGACCTCTCAGCGGCTTTCGATACCATCGACCATGGTATCCTTCTGGATAGGCTAGCGGGACTGGGGGTCGGAGGCACTGCTTTGCAGTGGTTCCGCTCTTATCTCAATGACCGATTCCAGAAGGTGGTGCTGGGGGACTATGGCTCTGTGCCATGGCAGCTATGCCATGGAGTACCGCAGGGGTCCATTTTGTTCCCTTTGCTGTTTAACATCTACATGAAACCACTGGGAGAGGTCATCAGGAGGTGTGGGCTGTGGAATCATCAATACGCTGATGATACCCAGCTATACCTCTTGTTTTCCACCAATCCAGGTGAGGCAGTGGCTGTGCTGAACCGGTGCCTGGCCGAGGTAATGGGCTGGATGAGGGCCAATAAACTGAAGCTCAATCCAGACAAGACGGAGGTCCTGTTGGTTGGCGGATCGGGCTTCAGAGAGGGTGAAATGAACCTAGTCCTGAATGGGGTTGCACTCCCTCTTAGGGACAAGGTCCGCAGCTTGGGAGTGCTCCTCGACCCAGAGCTTTCATTGGAAGCTCAGGTGACAGCAGTGGCAAGGAGCGCTTTCCTTCAGCTTCGGCTGATCCATCAGCTGCGCCCCTACCTGGAGTATGACTGCCTGGCAACAGTGACACACACGTTGGTGACTTCCTGCCTTGACTTCTGTAACACGCTCTACGTGGGGCTACCCTTGAAGACGGTCCGGATACTTCAATTGGTTCAACATAGAGCTGCCAGGCTGCTGACGGGGACTGGGCATTATGTTCACATGACTCCAGTCCTCTGTCAGCTTCACTGGCTTCCCATTGAAGTCCGGGCCCAATTCAAGGTGTTGGTGATGACCTATAAAGCCCTAAACGGCTTGGGTCCTGGATACCTGAAGGAGCGCTTACGTCCATATACGCCCGCCCGCCCCCTGAGATCTGCAGGAGAGGCCCTTCTCCGGGAACACTCTGTGAAGGAAATTAGGAGGGTAGGTATTCGGAGGAGGGCTTTCTCTGCGGTGGCGCCCAATCTATGGAATGCGCTCCCCAGAGAGGTCCGCCTGGTGCCGTCGTTATTTGTTTTTCGGCGCCAGGCAAAGACCTTTTTATTCAAACGTCATTTTAATTGGTAATATTATTTCCTTATTTTATTCTTTGGCCAGGGCAACTTATTTTATATTGTTAATTCATTTTATATTTTTAATGTATTATATTTTAATTGATGTTTTGTGAGCTGCCCCAAGGCTTCGACGAATGGGGCGGCATAGAAATTTTCTAAATAAATAAATTATGTGTGAAAGAATGAAAAAGGAAGGATGGATGGACAGATGGACAGAAAAATACTGTAGCCGGAATGCAAATGGACCTGTCTGAGAACAGAGAATTCTTCCACCCACAAGGGAAGGAATTGCTTATTTTGCTTTCCAGCTACAAGCCATATTAAACTTTATTTTATTAATTTCAGTATTTTGCCTTACACAGTTAAGGCAAGGTAGGGTAGTCTCCCAAGGTAGCTTATAACATATACAAAAAGCAAAATTTGTGATAACATAATTGAAATCTATCAAACTACAAACACAGAAATATTATTATATGATGATATTATATCAGCAGCAATATTATACCAGCAGGAGGGCTGATCTCATCATTAAGAGCTTTTCAGGATCTGCAAGGTCTGGATACTGGAAAAGTCCTGCTTTGTATGCAGAACAACACACAGTCTTTTGTCTCCCAGCCCACTTGCTGTGAAAAATCTAGAGGGTGAAATCCAACATTGCACAATTTTTAATAAATTGTACTTATATGCTGCTTTTTTTCTCTTTTGAGAACTGCAAGTTGGGTTACATAGCTTCATTTTTATCCTCATAACCACGATCTTGTGAGGCTGGTTGGGCTGAGATTCTGTGACTGGCACAGAGTCACCCAGTGAGCTTCATGGCTGAGTGTGGACTGACTCTCAAGGTCCCTAGTCCAACACTGCAAGCGTTCTAATGAGTAGGGGAATTGCTTCCCTTCCCATTCTGACAGAAGTCCATTCATCAGTGGCAGGACAGAATAAACAGGGGTAAGAACCAGACATTAAAATAGGCTCTTTTCCTTATTATTCATGACATCTTTACTAACTGTAGTTTAAGTGCTTGTGCTGCTGGTTAAATTTTTCAAAATGTACAAAGTAAAAGCAAATAGTAATCAGTCCAGCAAAGTCAGCAATTTTGTGCAGTGAAGGACTGTTTAGTCTTGCCGTTGACGTCAGAGTTTGTTGGATCTGTTTTACAGCTACAATCTTATTTGCGTATTCTAAATGCTGCAATTTGTCACATAGTCATGATGTTAACATTGACTTCAGTGCACTTTAAACAGCCAGTACTTAGGATTGCAGCCAAACGTTTTATTGAAATGTTTATTGTTAGTAATCATCTATGTTTTTCTTATGATGTGCTACAAGACACATTAGTAGTTGCCAAGTTATAGAATACCAACAGCAAAATTAACCATGTATTTACAATGTATTATTTGTTTTTGTAACCACCAGGTACTCTGATTCAAGTCCCTTCAGTTGAAAGGGGAAAACTTAGTAAAGTTCGTCTGGGATCATTGTCTCTGAAAAAGGAAGGAGAAAGACAATGTTTTTTATTTACAAAGCACTTTTTAATTTGTACAAGGAGCTCTGGAGGAAAGCTGCATTTACTTAAGGTGTGTCATTTTGATAGATACCACATTGACAAATAGCACAGTGAAATACAGTACCTAGTTGTGGAACATACAGGTCCTAGTTCTGTTGAATTCAACTAAATAAAAGATTTAATTGTAGTATAATTTTAACTGAAAGGTTTTGATGTATTGTTGCAGTAAACTGACCCACTGAGAAGATACACAAGAATTGCCTGGAAACATTCTCTCAATATTTATGCAAATTCATAAGGACTTGTTCTGAAGCAAGTGTTAGCTTTCTAAACTAAAAGTGATCAAAACTGAAACCTGGTCAGTGGGCTGCTGCAGAACTAATTTTATTGCAAGAAAGACAAAGCATTTGTATCTGTGTCGAGTGTATTATATGGTCTTCAACTTGGAGAAAATGTGCTTTCTTTATGCATTTCTGCTTTCCTATTTCGATATTCAAATTTGAGTTAAGGTGAAATTTTATTAAATTTTGGAAACTATTATTTTTGTATCAGGGCATTTCTACCCCACTCTTCAGTCAAAAGACTTCTAGAGCAGCTTAATGATGGTAAGCAATCAGGTAGTCCTTGTCTTCAAGTTAACTGTCTAAAACAGTGGTTCCCAACCTTTTCCATGCCCTGCACCCCTAGAAAATGTTTAATTAATTGATTAATTAGTTCAAAGCATTTTTATGCCACCCCCATTGCAGAAATCCTCGGGGCGGCTTACAAAGAGGATAAACAAACATAGGATAGACATTAAAAATTTGGAGCATCTCGGCAATAGTTTAAAACCAGTAAATAAAAACAATTAACAATTAAAATATCGTTTAAATAAAAAGGTCTTGGCCTGGCACCAAAAAACAAATAACGACTGTGCCAGGTGGACCTCTCTGGGGAGCGCATTCCATAGGTGGTGCACCACCGCAGAGAAAGCCCTCCTCCGGGTGCTCACCCTCCTAATATCCTTCACAGAGGGCTCCTGGAGAAGGGCCTCCTCCACCGATCTCAGGGGGCAGGAGGACATATATTTATGTTCTCACTACCTACAAAAGCAATATCACATTTGAAGAAGTGAAGACAAATTTCTAATTTTTGAACCACAAATTGGTTCTGCGGGTGAAAAATTGAACTAAAAAAAAGACAGATTTTAACTCTGTGCATAAAATTCAAATATAAATTGGGCAATTAGAAATAATTGTACACAAAAAAGTCCATCTCAGCTGTGAATATAAAATTCAATGACTTCTTTATTTCTGCTTCTCATTCATGATTTTGGCAAAACAAAACTTTCTTGCTGATTGCAGTCTGCATGTCTGCAGACTATGGATTCAGGTGATTCCTAGATTTTGTCTTGAATGACAAAAGAGAAGCAAATCCAAATGCTAACAAAATAATAAACAGTTTTACTATTGGGATAAATTTGGGGGGGGGGGGGGAATGTCACAGTTCGCCAATTTCTTTCCTGCCTTCCACTTCTGTGGTTTTTATTCTTTTGAGTTCAAATTGAATCTCTTCCTTCTTCCTTCCCATCAAAGAAATATTTTCTTAGAAGCCCTTCTAGTAAGAGTTGCAGGAGAGAGAGGCCACCACAAGGAACTAGATCTTAGCATCCCACCAAGCTGGGCCTATTTCTCCTCCCATCCCCTCAGCACAAAATTAGTATGTATATTAATATGCATGACTGTATTTGGAAGAAACATGGCAATCCATTTCTTCTCAAGATAGTTTTCAAAGAATCCTAGAGCTCTGACTGCCTTTAGACTAGCCTTCCCCAGGCTAACGCCCTGCCTACATGTTGGTGCACAACTCTCAGATCTCTGGCTAGCATGTAGGGCACCAGGCTCAGGAAAATGGTGTTAGACAGGCTATGCTATCACTTATGTGGATGCCTGCCTTACCTCTTCTTATACAAGTGAACTGTAAGAAAACAGTGAGAATCAGAATCAGTTTGTCACTTTCCACTCTGTTTAGTAATGCTTTTCAAAGGTTTTTTTTTAATAAATTACTATGGCCAGTTCAATCCTTTTCAGAACTGAGTTTCCATTAAAATTATTTTTCTTCCCTGAGTTCTACATTTCAACTTTGCCATCTAAACCCAATTATGTTTTTAATCAACTTCCAGCTTCTGCAGTATTTAACTAATTTTTAAAAAGGAAAAACGTACGATTGCATTTTGTAGTCCTGGCAATTTGGTCTTTACATTTCTTCTTGGTTTGCTTTCTGATAGATTTATGTTTAATATACTGGACTTCTTATGCTTGCTTGTAAATTACTAACAATACAGTCCTATGCATGTCTGTCAGAGGTAAGTCCATCTGTTAAATGGGGCTTACTCACTGGTGTGTATAGGATTGCAGCCTTAAAGTACAGCCTTCTCTAACCTTACACTGCAAGATTTTTCTGGAATTAAGTCTGTATCTGGCACTATAATTGTAATTTATTCAGATTTTTAAAAATAAGTATGCCCTAAACTGTTTTATTATTTTGAATGTAGATATATTGTTCATTATGTCCATATATGTTTTATATATTCAGTTACTAAACTAGTGTGATGAGTGTGCTATACTATTAATTTTATCAGTAGTGTTTGCTTTTGGATAATACATCACTGCATAATTAGAAAAACACACATGTAACTTTAAATTATTTTCATTTGCTGAAATTAATCATGTTCTTGATTCTTAGAAATCATAGAAATATATGTAGCTATTGGAATAACTCTTTTTAGGAGTCTTTGCAACATTAAATTGCATAATGTTACATAATTTTAAGTTGGAGACAGAAAGTTACAAAGATTTCTAAAAAAGATATAATTTATTTCCCTAGGCAGGTGGTGTCCTCTCTTTAATAGAATGCACACTAATTGAAGAAACTGATATGAATGATGATGACTGTAAGTTAAATCAAATAATTTAATGTGGTTATAATGTTTACATAATTTTAATAATGTAATGTATTTTTCTGCATAACAGATAAGTAATATAGACTATAGGAAATGCCTCCTTCTAATAAAAGGGACAGGAGTTAAGATATAAATAGTGTAATTTGTGGCAGCTTGACTTTTCCACTCTACAGAGTTACAGTATTGTGCAGAAGATACACTTGATTGATTGGGACTGTTCTCTATGCTCTTCAAGGACAAACTAGTATATAGTATTTATTTATTTATTTATTTAAAGTTTTTATATGCCGTCCCCATTGCTACCCAGCCTCGTGTACCTTGTTTTAGTCTTACAGTATATTCATGTAGGTAACTGTAACTGGGAAATACAGAGGATGTGGAGCAATCCAAATCACTTTACAATTGTTTGTTTCTGTGGAAGAGTAAACACCTGATTAGAGTTAGCACCTGAGCACAGTATATGCAAGTTAGGATAGCAAATGGCCTATAACTCTGAGCTTGCTCCAGCCAGCCATGGTCTGAGAAGTAGGCTGAGAAGTCCATCTAAGGTAAAATTTATTTTCAAGGGACTGAAATAAGCCCTTGGCATTCTTGCTACCCTGCCAGGCTCCTGCCAGGAGGACAAAGGATAAGCAGATGAATTGAAACCCTCTGGCCTATGGGTGTCTATCCCATAGGACTGTGGTCTGAAGCTTGCATTGAAAGTTCTTACCCAATAAAGTGTACTAATATTTAATTCACTATTGTAGTTTTGGAAATGTCTGTCTGTACACAGTTAAATAGTTCTGTTAAGCTGAATGCAGCCAAGTCCTCAGGTAAGCTCCCCTCATTTCAATTGCCCACTACAATGTTTATTCCAAAATTATGATATAGGCACTGTGCCTGTGCCTCATAGCATTTAAAAGCCAACAGCAATATTGTCACAGTGGGGTCAGATGTATTTTGGCACTCAGCTCTGCACCTAGGAATAATTGCTAGTTTCCTAATGAGAGTAGGTGATTTTCGGCTGGAAAGCTGAATTAGTAGAACCTTTTATGTGTTCATAAATTATAGCTTGGGGAAGTATGGGCATTATACCCTGACTGATTTTGGCTACAATACAGCATTCTGCCAAGATTAAGTCTGCAATCCTATTAACACTTACCTGGGAGTAAGCCTCACCGAAATCAGTGGAACGTACTTCAGAGTAGGCATGAATAGGCTTGCATTGTAAAAGTTACAATGGATTAGGGGATTATGCTGCCACATTAAAGTTGCAAAACAAAAACAAAAAAATTGTTGGAATCCTGGGTTATACACCATCTCTCCAATTTAGAGAGAACTGCACAGTATCTGAAGCATGAACTAAGGTTCTGATTTACACCATCAGAGCATGTGTTTTCCCAGTGTTTTCCCAGTAACTTCTGTGGCAGATAAGGCTTTCCACAGGCTGTAGGGATGTAAGCATGAAGCTTTGTTCAACAAAAATTGGATACCCCTGGCTGGAATTCTTGTAAAATTTAAATAGCCAATTTGGTATGTCCAAGAAAGATTTAAACTCCTATTTCTTGATCAGCAGCTATGGTTCATGCAATCTGACTTAATAATTCAAGGAACATTAAAAGCCATTATGTGCCATCCAAGAACTTGGTTGGCAGCTTTAAAAGTTTAGCTTAAGATACTTATTTTCAAAATAGGAAAGAGTTGCTAAGCCATTTATTTGAAGATAGTGTGGAGATTGTACAAAGCTGGTCACCCAAAAAGGTTTTCCTATAGCAGTTATTCCCAACCTGGGGTACGCATTCCCACAGGGGGACAAACCAGGCCATTTAGAGATAAGCAAAGAAAATGGAATAATGGAGGAAATAACTGCAAAAATATTGATGACAAACATTTTGCTAATTTGAAGGGTACAATTTATTTAAATAGGCTGCCAAGGGGTATGCAAGTGAAAAAAGATTGGGAACCACTGTTGCATAGCGGTTATGACACTATAGGATTCTCATGCATCTTTTATGGGTTACAATAATGCATCTGACTTCACAAAACAAAGCATTTAGACATGACTTTTCAAGAACTGTTCAACCTGTTTCCCTTGATTTTAGGGAATCTCCTATGATGATTCTTTCCAGTTAGCCATCTCCTTTAGGACCTGCATGTTGTTATTGCAGAGCTTTTATTCTGATCAGAATAAATGTTCTTACATCCCAAATGCTTTAAGGCATTATGCAGGCAAGGGTATGGCTTTGCAATAGTCAGGAGGTAGCATCCATAGCTCTTTTGTTCTATAATGTCTGTGCTGGAGTATAGCAGCACACAATTAGCCCCTTGCTCGCTGAACTTCCAGGAAGATCAGTGCAATTTTAGATCAAATATCTGATGGAAGATAAAATTCTGCTGATGACACTGAAACTAGCTAAATTTCTTTCTGTACCAATGAGAACAAGAGAACAACTCACAAGAACACAATTTGCTGTTTGACACTGGAAGGATCATATTTCATTACCAATTTGTAATAACTGGAACACTATACAATTTATTTTACATATTGATTCTGCTTGCTTAGAGATTCTGATGTATAGTATATTTTATTTTGGCCAAAGTCAAAGGAAAAAAAAGTTTAAAATGCCAGAGCTACAGTCCATGCATGCATCTAAATATCTCTTTCAATTCTGATCATCTTGTACACATATCTTTGTGGAACAATTTTCTATGGATTGTAACTAAACTTGATGAACTCTAGATTTCAGGCTATCACTCATTAATTCTTTTCCCACCCCTACCCTACACCTAACTGTGAAGCAAAAGGTTCTGGGCAAGTATTTGGACATCTTGACTTCAAGATTGTTGTAGAACCAGCAGATGCACCTCCTTTTACTGTTGTCCTGTTAGCTCCTTCACGACAAGAAAAAGCAGCATGGACAAGCGACATTAGTCAGGTAACTTAAATTTCATGGCTACTGCATGGTTTGTTTGATGTGGAAAAGTAATCTCACAGCTCAATGTATAAGAAGGATAAGGGGATTGCTGTTTAAGTATGACATAATTGCCCTAAAATTCTAAGCCAAGAATGCATTTTTAAATCTACATCTGTTTGTATGTTGTAGTAGGTACAGCATCTTTCCCAACCTTGTTCCCCCCAAGCTGGAACAAAATTCCCATGATTCTCAGCCAGCATGTCGAATGTTCTTTAGTGTTTGCTAAATGGATACATTGATAACATGTCTATATGCATGAATTCATTAGTGTTAATGCAACAAAAGGCAAATAAGAATAAAGAAATAAATACTTTTTTATGTAGTGAAGGAAGAAGAATGGAGGAGCTGTCAGGAAAAGGTACAATGCAAGGTTAGACTAAGCCAATAGCATGCAATATTTGTGCTTACTCAGTGGGACAGATCATTTTGTGCAGGTATGCTAGGAAGTGAAGTGCAAAAACAGCTTCACAGATGAGATGAATTAAATCCAATGTTAGTCTGATTTAGAGTAGACCTATTTAAATGAATAGGATTAACACAATTCCATTCACTTTAATATGTCCACTCTGAGTATGACTAATGTTAGATTTAACTAGCAGAAAATTTCATAGAAAAACTGCTCTTGCAGTCATAATCAGTTACATGTAGGAATATCTCCTTATGGTTAAAATCACAAGCCTCACCCTAGTTTTTCTAAAACAGTTCAGTTGGGATCAGTAAATTGCTTGGGAAATAAACTAGAAGTAAATGAAAGGGCATTTATTTTTCACCTAATACGATTAGGGCTGCAATGTTTAATCTGTTTAATTGGTACATTAATCAACTAAAGCTTTAATCACAGATTAAAATTTGCCTTTGATTAATTGGTGGGACTAAAACTAGGGATGGGCGACTCTAAAGAATTTGACTCACTTGTGCTTGGTGGACTTCAGCACATCTTACTGATTTCGGAACTGAATGCAGAATGGAGGTATTTGTTCAGTTTTTGGTTTTAAAGCAGCCTGCAATTTGTTTGTGTGTTCAAGGTTGCAATGTGTGCGGATTTCAACAAAAAATACACAATTTGTGCCTGTATTTTATACAATTGTGTCCCTATCTTGTGCAAATTTATCTGCCTTTGTATTCCCCGCCCCCACACAAACAAATCACAGCCCACTTTAAAAGCAGAAGACGATGTGCTGGCTCAACTTACATCAGAGCAAGTTGGTGTGCGTGTTCAGTAGCTAGCCTGGAATCCAATGGCTGATCCAGGCCAGCCTTCTGGAGTTTGACTCCCCAGTGGATTCCTCGCATATTCCTTGCTGAAACTGAGCAAGGAAAAGTTCTTTTAGATGGTACAAATATAGTTGCCTTCTCCTCCCTGAGCCAAAAATGAAGAGAGGAAAAAATAGAGGTGCCTCCCCCACTCCTATTTTATCATGTTGGCAAATACTTCAGATAGATTTGAGTCATGAATCTTCTCTAGAAATAAACTTCTGAATGCTTGATATTCACAAAAGGGAATATAATGGAAAGAGTTTGTTTCTGTGTCCCACACTCATTCTGTTTTGAAGGCAATCCTTCATAATGTTTCTCCAGCTTTCCATTAAAAAACAACAGCACTCTAATTGTTAGCACCACATGTTGTACCTCTTTGGAAATTATTGTTACATTCCTGTTGAGCAATAGAAGGAACTCATGAGCCTGCAGCCCTGTTATTTTGAGATATGGAATGGTGAGCTGAGTTCACTCCCAACCCTATAGTGAGTCTGCCTGCCCGCCCAAACTATCCTGAAGCTGCATGTGTGGCTCATAATTTGCTTTACACAGCACCACACAGGACTGCCCTTTCTGAAGTCTAACTTTATGGTTTGGAGGAAGGGAGATGTAGTGCTAATAGCTTAGGCTGAGAGTTTCAGCCAGTGAAAGTTTCATGTCTGAGTGTCAACATGGCTAACTTTGCTGCTTTTCTTTTATAATTTTACTGAAGATGATTTGATAAACCACCCAGAGAATGTTGGCTATGGGGCAATATAGAAATGAAAATAATGGTGATCTATTTAATTGCTATTCAGAACTAGTTCCAGGTTTGAAGGGTACCCAGGCAAAATGTAACATCCATGTGGAGTGAAATTATAAAGAGAGCATGGAGGAAATGAATTAAATCTGGACTGCAGATCCTCAAGCACAGGGGCCAAATCTAACCCCCTAAGATTCCCTAGATGGTCCCATAGCTCTTTTCCTCCAGCCTCCAATTGTTCGGCATGGATTCTGTGCCTTGTTTCTGTTCCAAAATATTGACAGGCCTCCCAAGGCTTGGTTGCTGGCAGTTCAAGCTGCCTGCTGGCATTTTGGCCCTGCCCGTTTTGCCTGTGACCACACCCCACCACTGGGATGTGGCCCAGAGAGTGTCCATGAAATAGAATTGTACCCACAGGCTGCAAGAAATTTCCTGAAGCTTGTTCAGAAGGTGCTCAAAATGCACCTAGAAATATCATAGTAAATTGTAGGCCTCAATGGCTTGAATCTCTAACAAGTTTTAACAGACGCTGTCATACATTGTGTTTCCTATTTTCTAGGGTTTTTTTTAAAGTTCCAGATTATTTTTTCTTTTACTGACTATAATATTTGAAGTTTTCAGAATTTGAAAAAAGGTGGTTGTACAATTTTGTCATCCATTATTAACTTTTGCAGTGTGTTGACAACATACGGTGCAATGGTTTAATGACCATAGTATTTGAAGAAAACTCCAAAGTCACTGTGCCACATATGATCAAGTAAGTCTGACAGCTTTGTCATGTACAACCTATTGTAGACTCAGTTTTAGAACTGAGAGATGAAATGAGATCTTGCTGTTTTATTTAATTGGATTATTGATCCCATGTTTTGTAGGAAAATGTTGCATTGTTTTTGTATCTGTTTTATCTGCTTTTTTTTCAAGTTTTGCACACAGGTATGAGTAGTGTGTGCCTTCCAGAAAGCAGTGTGGTAATTGATATTTCATACATGGGAAGTTTAATCTGTGCTTGCAAGATTTCCCTTAGAAACTGAGGTTCTGGTAGACACAGTCAATCTTAGAAGCATTGCATCAGGATTTGTTTCCTATAAACATGAAGTGGTACCCAAAGGGCATATACATGGCACTTGTGGAGAGAAGAAAGTGTTTAGAAGAAACAATCAGAGGGAAATCCATGGGGTTGTAGCTCATTCACTACACGTATGATCATTTTCACTATATGGTCTCAGGCTGGGAAAGCTTTGGCCCCTGAGATGGTGTTGAGGTACAACTCCCATCAACACCATCAAGCTTGGCCAGAGAATGATGGGAATTGTAGTTGAAAAATGTCTGTTGCTTGCCTTAGTCTGTACTGGAAATTTAATCTTTTAGGGAGCTGCAGCAGCTGTAGAAATAATCTGCTCATGATTTTTAGACACTGATCATGCCTTTTAAAGTAGTGTTTAACAGTACTTTTAAAAATATATTATATAGATCTGATGTTCGTCTTCACAAAGATGACATTGACATCTGCTTCAGCAAAACACTAAATTCCTGCAAAGTGCCCCAGATTCGTTATGCAAGCGTAGAACGTCTTTTGGAGAGATTAACAGACTTGCGATTTCTCAGTATTGATTTCCTTAATACTTTCCTGCACACTTATCGCATATTTACTACTGCAGCAGTTGTACTGGAGAAACTGTCAGATATATACAAGCGGCCTTTCACCTCAATTCCTGTTAGGTGAGTACATTCCATAAGAATCCCTGTCCTAATAGCTTGCACTGGGGAAGCATTACATTTTTTATTTGTATATTTATATTCCACTTTTTGGCTCCCATGGCTTTAGAAAAAGTATAATGAAATCCAAATAAAACATCCTACATTGCATATTAAAAATTAAATTTAAAAGGTATGTACTACTTTTCAGTAGAAGATTTAATATTTGCATATTAAATCAGTCATTCAGAAGACTTGGTATAACAAAAATGTCTTTATGGGTTCCAGAAGCACAGCAATGGATTTGCCCTAGTGAATTTACTGGACCAGGAATGTGGAGTATGAGTGCTTCCACAGTAAATACTAGTAAATGTTAATCTTAATTTGGATGGAGTTGGCACTTCAAGGCACTCTCCTATGTATGTTTAGAGACAGAGACCTACAGCAGTTATGAAGCCATGGGGGCTGAGTATGTCACCTGATCCCGGCATGCCTTCTCTGAGGTAGCTGTGAAACCACACCAAGAAGCCATGGCTTATTCTAAACTGAACCTGAGTAACATTGTCTGGGAAAGCCCAGAACAAGCAAGCCCCTTGGCCTAAGGGGCATAAAGTGGTATCTGCTCTGGCCAAGGGGCTCTGGTGGATAAGTTCAAAGGTGTCACTTGCCATGGCTGTTACCAGCTTTTTCCCTCCTCCTCAGCTGCTAGGAGAGCAAGGTTCCTCATAAGGTGATCATAGTGGCTGGTGGACTGAGAGGAGCTGTTTTCCCTCCATCTTCTTGAGAGGAGGCTGGGGAAAAGCAGTACCCCTGCCTGACATACCTCTTCCTTCCTGAATCCTGTTCAGAACTAGAGAAGACTAAGCCATATTGTGTAGGCTGTGCCACCAGCAACAGCTGCTTTGTGCTGCCTTCCTGAGGCTCAGGAATGGGCATGTGGCAGACACAGGCTTGCTCCTTTTCTCTCCTTGGTGTGGCACCCACAGACATCCACATTTCTCCCTTAGATCTCAGGAACCAGGGTGAGATGCTATATATATATATATATGGGAAGCCATTCCTTTAAATATCCCAAGCAAGTTAGGGCTATAAACATTATAACCAGCCTTTTGAATTTGGCCTGGAAACACTCAGTGAAGCTCATAAAAATCGATACTGTATATAATCTCTGAAGCAGCCATGAGCCAAAAGGTGTGCTGCTACATTCTACAAGCCCAGAAGTCATGGATGGTCCTCTAGGGCTTCATGCACAGTACGTCACAGCAGTCAAAGTCAGAGACTTCCATGGTGCTCATGACGGAGATCAGGTTCTTTTTGTCTTGAAAAAAGGAACACAGGCAGCAAAACAGCTGAATCTGATCAAAGGTTATAGGTAATACTTGGATACTGCTGCATGTCCAACAGCAATGCTGGTCCTGAATGCTCTTAAGCAATGAAGCGGATTTTACAGTGAGATTCTGGCTCCAGCAGCTATGCATATCCAGCTGATTTTCCAAATCTCGGTCAACAGATGTTCTCCATTCAGCATGAACGTCAATTCTCATCCAATTCACTACTGACTTTGGATAGGGGAGGCTACTGAACCTAGGCAGTAGCCAGTAATGTCATTCCACAAACTCAAATTGGACGAGTGAAGCTGAGCCAAGCCTTTCTACTATGGAAACACTTACACATTACGTTTGCACAACCAGTTAGGGAAGTGGTTGCACAACGGTAACTTTAGCTCAGTTCTTTCCTTAACATAGTTCAGAAACTGGTTTCTACTAATGCAGTACCAAATTGACATTAGTTGGAATGACAGATATGAACATATATCTCTGTTTTTTTATTTCCCTTGCTATAGGGAAATAAAAAAACAGAGATATATGTTCTCAATATACTATATGACCCCAACCACTACTTTCATTGATGTTAAAAAGTATGACATAGTTGTGAATCCTACAAAACTCCATAAGTAATTGCCCAGTTCCACCTTCTGGAATCTACCTGGCAGTAGGAACACAATTCCTGTAATGTTGGTGGTGCTTTCACTTCCTTCTTCATGACATTCATCCTTTTAATGGAGGTCATACCTTAGGTAATGGCATAAAAAAGCCATGAAGAGATATGGCAAAATAGAATGAAGACAAAGTCTAGCTCAGTTCATCTTTTCAGAATGTGATTGACAAGATACAGTGGCTGAGAAGAGACCCCTGTACCGCATCTATATGAAAGGCTTTCAGTTTGATCTGGATATACCAGGAAGCAGTTTGGACATTCTCTAGTAGTTGAATATGCACGGTGTCTCTGTGGTCTAGGCTTTTGCATATGCTTTAACTTACGCATCAGTCTCCAACAACCATGAGGTAACCATTCGGATCCTTACACCTGAATTGACAAATAATTCTATCTGTTCCAGCCTTATGGCAGGTTAATTTCTAAGTCTAAATTTCACAATGTAGTTGTCAAAACATTGCAGCCACAGGGATTCCTTATATTATTCAATGTAAAAAACAAAAGATCATTGTGTGAGTGTTGCACACATACCAGGTATGAAAATCTGAGACTTAGTTGTGTAAAATTCTGTCCCCAAAGACTGTGAGTATAGGGGTTCTCTTGCAGCACGTATGAGAATACCTCTGTCAGTTCCAGAAGGTTGTTGGCTAGCAGGTTGTTCAGAACATCAACAGTGTAACTTTTCTTTCCCAAGCAGCACAGCAGACACACATTCCCAAAATGTGTGGATTGCATGTCTGGCTTGTGCAGCTCAACACCCCTTCCTGCTTTAGCCACTTGACCACTGTTATTCCTGTATTAAATACTTAGCTGGTAGCATTCACACCTGAACACTCAGCACACTTTGTGTAATGCACTATGGTTTAGTTATATCATATTTGACAATATTGTGGAGGATAGATGTAGTCTGGACCTTGTCTCCTTTATTATCTGTGTAATCATATTTCAATTTTATATATTCTGGATTTCTTCCCTAGGTCTTTGGAATTGTTTTTTGCTACTAATCAAAACAATAGAGGAGAACATCTGGCTGATGCAAAATCACCACATCTAAGCCGCAAATTCTCTTCCCCTCCACCCCTGTCACTCTCTAGGACTTCTTCACCTGTCAGAACCAGAAAACTATCATTAAGCTCTCCTCTAAATTCAAGAATAGGTGCTTTAGATCTATCTACTTCCTCTCTTGCTAGCAGTCCTACCTCAACATACAGCCCTGCCACATCACCACCCCCCACGTCATCTAAAGTACCACTGGACCTTAGCAAAGGCCCTTCATCTCCAGAACAAAGCCCTGGCTTTGCAGATGAGAGCTCTGAGAACCCACGCATCGAGCTTTGCAACAAACTCAGAAGAAGCATTCGAAGAGGTATTTTATGTGTGCATGTGTGTGTGCGGCGTCCTCTGCAGTATATTGCGAAAGAATGATCATATACTTAGATCACTGAAGAAATGGAGTGTTGGCACAATGTCTGAGCACTATCCATTGAACCTGTGTACAGTTACAGTCACCTAAGCTTGATGGAAAGAAGAGCAAAGAAATCGAGGAGGAAAGTCCTTTGGCCAGTCAGACTCTCAGCCCAAACTACCTCACAGGGTTGTTGTTGTGAGAATAAGATTGAGAGATGGAGAATTTTATAGGCCACCTTGAGCTCCCTAAAAGGAAAAAGGCAGGATAAATATAATACATAATAATAAATAACAACCAGTTCTGTTTTGGAAGCTTAAGCTCACATTTCCTTGCTTTTTAAACCGTCGATTTAAACTGTGGATTGTAGACTGTAATATTTAAAGGTGACTAAGCCAGTATCAGCTTTTCCACTGACACCTGCTCAAGTGACCTGCTTGACTCATTTAGTTCAATTTATTGCTAAGCTGATCCATACTCAGCGGGCTGTGCAAAAGCTTCTGATCCTATCCAACCCAGTGAAAATTTGACTTTCCCATCCCCACAGTTGGGATGCTTCGATTAAAAAAAATCATATTGGCACCAGTAGCATCACAGAATTATAGATCCAAGGAGTAGGTGGGTTTATTCTGATCAGACTAGGGAGAGCAGAAATAAACATTCTCTCTTCATTTACCAGAATCCTGGTAGGGATTCTACCCCATGACTGTAATAAATTACTGTACTGTAATATTACTGTAATAATATTACTGTAATGACTGTAATATTAATAAGAACAATATTAATGCCTGCCTGCTGCCAGAGGGCCTGTGGAATTTTGAAAACATCAGGCAAATGTCTAGTTTGAACTGGCCCTGAAATATCAATCTTTGGTGGTCCTTGCAAGTCTCTGATGGATTCACATAGCTTGGTGGCACTTCATGGGTTGTTTAATCCTGGGTTGTTAAACCCAGGAATTGTGGAGACAGGCAATGAGCACTGCATTCATCATTTCAACTTTTAATGAACATCTCTGAAATGTTCCATTCCTGGATTTTATCGTGATACACAAACTCAGAAACTCTGGGTTGCTTATGGGTTAACAACCCAGAATTAACCCAACTGCAATTGTTAAAGAAAATAGAAATTGCCACAAGGACCTGCAGACTGTTTCTGTAGCTGAGATGTCATGACTTCAGAGACTTAGACAAAGAGCAAAGAAATAGCTTCTGTGTTTGTGTTATTTGTTCAGTTGCTTTATAAAACGATCTCCTGGGTAAACATGGAAATTACATCCAGGACATTGCAACACAGTAAAATTCTTCTTATCCTCAGTTTCATTAGCTATATAGGTTGTCTTCCAAGAAAAAGTGTAGTCTTTTTTTATTTCTCAGGAGAAAACTGACAAGATTAATGAAAAGAAATACAGTCATGACTGAAGAAAGAAAAAATATTCTTTTGAAAAAGATCATTTTTATAAATTCCCTGGTGAGACATTTAATAGAGTCTTAACCGAAGGATTTGTCACTATAGAACGTTATATATTGTTTAACAAAGGTTATTTTAAAGTTGATTTAAGCAATAATGGCTAGCATTATCAGCCAGTCATTAATTAAACAACAAGCCTAAGGAATGGTGTTGATAGGAATAGTGAGTAATAAGTAAAACCAGGTTTAGATTTCTGTTTTAGGGCGTGATTTTATGCATTTTTATGCATATCCTCCCCACCTGACAAGGCAGTATGCACCAATGCTGCCTTCTTTCTACAGGGCTTTTGGGAGAGCTCCCTCACATTTGTTCAAGGGGCAGGCAGCTGTTGCGAGAGGGTGTCATGAGATCTGCAGCTGTGGTAGAGGAGCGTGCATTATGGAAGGCTAGTGGTTGCCTTAGAGCAGTGGGTCCCAGCCATTTTGGCACCAGGGACTGGTTTTGTGGAGGCGGGGGGATGATTTCGAGATGATTCAAGTGCATTACATTTATTTTGCACTGTATTTCTATTATTATTACATTGTAATATATAATGGAATAATTATACAACTCACCATGCAGAATCAGTGGAAGCTGTTAGGAGCCAGGCTGCACAACTTTATAAATGATAATTGGTAAGGAGTATCCCATGGATTAGTAATTTATATACCCTGTATCATTTAAGATTTTTGTGGTATTTAGGCTATGTAAAAGATCCATGTACCACCCCAAGTTTGTTTCTAAGTCATTACTGGAAACTTTTAAGAATTATTTTTATTTTATGAGAAGCAGCCTATGGTGGCAATGGTTGTGATACAATGGAGCAATATATTTTATATCTGTCTTGATGAATTCAGCTCTCACCAACAAAGGGAGGCAAAGAAAGCACATTGACTAATAAATACTGGTCAGGTTATCAGCTGAATTGGCCTGTTCTTCTTGCAAGTTCCTTCAAGGATAATTGAAAGGAGACAGCCTTATACATAAGCTCAACCCTAATTAATGCTGATACTTTTATTTTAAATATTGGTCTGTAGTATTTGAGATATGAGATATGTCACAGATGCCAAAGCTAGAGCAAATCCTTCCCATTTTTTCTTTACCTTTACTGAAAAAGCAATTATTTTTCAGGCATTTATTTTTCTTCTGTTCTCTTTTGCTTTTGTTTAACAAGACAATCTTGTAAGTTCATACTTGTAGTTTAGACATAATTCTGTGAGTTAATATGTACCTCTAGACATTTTGTCTAAGTAGTTGCAAAATCCTGAAATCCTGTCTTTGCAATTGATAGCCCATCCTATGTTATTTTAAAATTGTGTACACAATTTCTTTATTTACAGGCTTTGTTCTGATTATGTCATTCGTATCTGTTAAGTAGTCTGATATTTTATCAATGCTATTAAATTGATAAGAATGGGTATAATAGTAATGCAATATTAACTAATTATGATGAAATTTCAATATATGGCATTGTTTCTGCAAGAATAACAAAGTTCAGAAACTAAATTCTCCAATAAAGCAGAATGGTATATTATTATTATATGGTATATATATCACAAACTTCCAGAAGAATCAGTGCATTCATAGATGCATGGGTTTGCTTATCAAGTTCAGTGATAATGAATGTCTCTGCAAAGCCATCATATTATCTGAACAGAGCAGTAATCAGGCCAATTATATACAAAAGATTCCTCTTCCATGAACTTAACAATGGAGCTGACCCAGTTTAAGGTTGTGTTGAAGTGGCTATTAAATAACCTAATTTTGCTCTTCAGTCACGTATATATTTATAAGAAGTAGTTTTATGATGATCATTATATACTCTCATTAACATGAATATTTTTGTATTATATTTCAAACCTTTAAAAATGCACATTTTCTACAGAATCTGCACACTGAAAAAGAAGCTTTCTAAAGAGTCAGAATAATCTCTTAAAGATATCTGAGATATTTTGTAATCTGGTTATGATTTTTAGATCATTTGCTATTTCCATATCAAATTGCTTACTTTTTAAAGCAGCCGTCCTTGAATCTGTATCAGTGGACCGAACTATTCCAGAAAGTGCCTCAGCTGTGGATACTCCTGAGCTTTCCCCATGTAGATCACCTTCTACTCCACGACATCTGCGTTTTCGACAGTCTGGGGGTGAGATAATAAACATTAGTTTTGATACAGTATGCACTTGCATGGGTTTAAGTGAAGTCTTATCCCTAAACTTTTTTAGACTTTTCATCTTGTGATGATATCAAGCATTTATGTGCATGTTTAGATAGAAAACAAAGTCCTACAACTCCCAAGATCATGCTTGCCAGCAAAGCCTGGAATTGTACGACTATTTTCTGTTGAAACATGTATAGCATTGCACCCTAAGTAATTTGTTATTGTTAGCCTTTCCCAACTGGGGTGCCCTTCAGATGTTTTGGAATTGAACTCCAATAATCCACAGTCAGCAATGAAAATGATGGCTAAGGATGACAGGAGTTCTAGTCCAAAACATCTGAAGGCCTCCAGTTTGGGAAAAGGTTGGTTTTCTGTTCATCTCACAGAAAAAAGGAAATGTGAATAATACCACGGAAATTGATTAGCATATGAGCAGTGACAGAGTAAAAAGCATATTTATGTTTAGATGTGACCAAATGTTCTGTAACATTTTGAACAAGATGTACATTTACTCAAGAAAAATATTGACTACATTTTTACTACTGACAGATCTACGTGAAACAAATGGAGGGTAGGTACTGGATGATATGAAATGCATGATACTTGTGGAAATAATTCCTTTTGTTACTACATGTGTGGCACAGAAAATGTACAGAGGTTATCCTAATTATTCATTACAGGGTGGGATTAAACTGCTTAACTAAGAGATGACATTATTTCGAAACAACTCTGAAAAATCATCTGCTGTATCACCAGATGCTTAAAAAGTGCAATATTCTATCAACTTGATCCAAAACACATTGGCTGTGTTCCTATAGCTCTTATATGCAGGGAATAGAAATGACTTGTGCTTCTCTTCCCTGGTCACTTTAATAATACCCAAAGTAGAATTTACACATTTCTTCCTGCAATCAGATGTGTGAGAGCTTGCAAGACTGAGTATGGAAAGAATTGTAGAAGTTCAAGTTTGTATATTTAGAAGAACCCCTGGAATCACAAAGTGAAAATCACTAGGCCTGATGTTCAAACATCCACTGCATTTTAAGTGAACATTACTTGGGCGAATAACACTTTGGACCTGTATATATGGGCAGTTATCTTCATATCAAGAGATTTTGCAATTCAATTATAGTATGCCTGTTCTGGGGGAATAGTTTGGAACTAGCTGAAATGGATGCTACAGCGAGAAACTGACCAGAATAGCTTCACTAGATATGGGCAGCTTGAGTTCCTACATTGGTAATATCTCCAGTTTAAAAGGAAGGCAACCAGTTAGTGGCAATATACTGGAGCCAGAGCTCTCATGGGATTTTTCATTAGTAGGGATGATCACATCACCCGCTACCCACCTCAGTCTTTCCTCTAAACTTAGCTGCAATTACCTCCCCTACTCCTAGCTGGAAGGAAAATGTATTTTCCTAGAAAATAATGGGCTCAGTCAATGTGATACCCCACACTTAAGGGCTGAGTGTAGATTGTCATTGAACTGTGGCTTGTTGTTGAAATGTGGGTTATCATAGTCTCTGAACCCATCTGTGCTACCCCCCCCCCCCCCCCGCCATAACTTCTTAACCGCTTATGAAGAAAACTTAGTTTGTTTTTGGGTTGTGGGTTGTTCAGGGTTAACAAACCATTATTTCATTGCATGGCATGATAACCCATGTATTGACAATCCAGTTACTGTTGTGAGATAGCCCTTTTCTAATACAAAGTATTTTGGAATGGCTTGGGCTTGAATGGGGAATTAAGACCCATTAACTTTACAAAGGCCTACAAAAGTGCGTGAGAGGGACAGAGAGAGAGAGAGAGGGAGCGGGGAGTGAGCACTACAGTGTCACAACTGGGAATGCCCTTCAAAATGTATTACTGCTGTACTGCCAATTTTCACTGTTGTTTACTTTCCACTACTTCAGCCTGCAAATGAAAATAAATTAATTTTCACACACATACACCCCTACTTTCAAAGAATGGGCCCCCAAAAGACTTCCCTAATTTTGTCTGATTCCTGGAAACTTAATTTGTAATTCAGGACAGAGTTGCAGAGCTAAAATAGATGTTTATTAATATGTTTTTTTAAAATCAGATCATAAGTATTTCTTTCATTTCAACAATTTCTGTTTGTTTCAGCAAGAGAGTGCACTAAAATGTTCTGTGATTGCTTCTCATTTACAAAAGTATTATCACATGTTGATTTTGTTCTTTTATTTACAGTACAGACAACTGACAATTGCCATTGTTCAGTTTCCCCGGCTTCTGCTTTTGCTATTGCTACAGCTGCTGCTGGGCACGGGAGTCCCCCAGGTGAGCTTTCTACTAGTAGAGGAAAAAACAGTTCTGATCATCAGTAAGTAAAATACATGATTATCAGTAATTAAAAGAACCCTTAGACTAGAATAATGCTAGGGTTTTAGGTAAATAAGCAACATAAAAATAAGCACTAATTAACATGTTTATATTTATTTATTTATTATATCTCATTTTAGAAAACCTTTGAATAGAATACTGTCTTTCCTGTATTTACAACTCCCATAATCCCCAGTCAGCAGAGTACTAGAGACTTACATGTTTTTTTTTTTTGCTTTTATTTTACAATTCCAACCAAAAGAACCCAAAACCATAAAGGAAAAAAATATACATAGATTTGTCTATATAAATTTCAATAAATGCATATGAATGTGTGTGAGAGAGGAACAGGGAAGGAGAAAATACAGCTCTCTAAGAATTACAAGTGGCATTCAAAAACAAAAAGCATTGTTAGGTGCTCAGTCCATTACATTAAAGAAGGTGAATGTTTATTCTGCCAGTACTGTAATAACAGTCTTCTGGTTGTCAGAAGGGTGCACAAAATCCATTTGTGTTGACTGAGTATTAACTTCTAGGGAGCAGGTAGATAATTTAAGAGGACATGTGCACCCTTACATGTTGAACAATGTTTCAGTACAAAATTTATCTATAAAATAATTTCTGCCCCAAGTGCAGCAACTGCAGAGCATTGCCAGGACATGTGATTAAAATAAGCTGACTTAGATACCCCTTATTAAATAAATATTCTGGTATGCAAAAGAAACAGAACAAGACATTTTGCTGATAAGAAATAACCTGAAATTCCTAGACACTTTAGATAGCTTACATTGGCAATCCACTGATTAAATAAAATGGACAGCCTAGTTCCCTGTTGCATTCCTACCTAAGTCCCTGTGTAGCAAGTCACTGATAATAAGTGTTTATAAAAATGGATCATGGGTTGATATAACTGATTAGCTTCAATATGTGCTTTCAATAATAGAAGAAACTTTGGAGCTGTAAAATATTCAAACAACCTAGATTCTGCAAGTCTTGCCATTCAGCTGTGGCAGGCAAATTGTATTTGGAACACAACAGCAACAATGGCAAAACCCATCAACAGTACTCACTCATTGATCCAAGATAAAAATATTTACCTGTCCAAGTGAATGATAAAAAAACAATTTTAACCAATGTTTAAACTTGGATTTCCCCTGAAAGTCATTTTTGCATGAGAACATGTATTAAAATGTAACTGATGTGGCATTATATACCACTCTATCCATTTTACTGTGCCAAGAACCCTATCCATTTGGAGAGAAGTTTCTTAAACTGATTGAGGTGGAAAATTTAAGTGAAGACCAAAAGGCAGGTCGACAAATAGTCCTGATAATATAAAGCAAGATCTGGAGAACCCAACCCCCACAACAAGCCAACCAGAAGCCATGGGCTGTTGTATAGTGATTATAGGAGTTTCCCAACACATAACTAGCACGTGTGATGGGGGAAATAATCCACTATGCCTTACTTCCCCAGCTGTGAGCATGCGACCTGAGCCTCAGGATACCATCGCTACAAGAAAAAGTGGTTTTTGCTGATCTCTCCCCCCTTCAGCCCTTTGTGCTCCATAAAATCTGCTTCAGAAGGTTGTGCAGGAGTGGGGGGATCTAGAACAGTAGGAAGGGTTGTAGGGTAGGGAGCATCAGTAAAAATTGGCGTGTATCCCTCTGTAGCTTTGCATTCTTGGAAAGTACTTATATTTATGAATTGCAAATCATCCAGTTTTTGCCAGTTCTACCTACTTCTGTACCATAGCCATAAATTTTTTCTAGATAGTCTCCTAGTATTCAGAAGCAGCTTCTTGGAAGCTCACTGTTCTGTCAGCAGAAGTGCTTTCTGCTAGCATAAAGCCACCTTTGGATACAATACATTTCCACTGGTGAGATAGTCTGTTGGTTCTTGGTCCCACCATCCTGGTGGCAAGTTGCCTGCTAGAACTACCAGATACCCTTGACAGACACACTCAAATTATTTTCCTTTCACTGAATCCCACTGCTATTTCTGCCACACACTACTCAGTAGCTAGGAAACAAAACGTTGGCAAGTCAAAAGTGGCAATAAGAGGGAAGGATGACATGAGAAGGAAATCCTCAGCAGAATGGAGGAAGAGGAGAAAGAAGAAGGGAGGATTGTTGTGAAAACAATGCATATAGCAATCTCAATTCCTATGGAGGGTGACATTTTATGAATTACCTATACTGTAGTTTATACATTTACATGGATCACATTGTAACAATCCACTTCAAACTGCTTCATAATATCAGATAATTCCATTGCATACATAAAGCACACCATTAAATGAAGATAAGTAATGCAATTTTTATTAATATCATACTATACTTTTACACTGAAGTTGTAACCCTGTGCATACTTACCTGTGGCTTACTTCTGAATAGATATGTGTTGGGTTGCACTGCTAATACTTTTAGTTGTGAAAAGTGGCTTCTGATCAGTTCTAATTCAAATCATTAACAGTTTCCTGGTGCCAAAACATTTATGTTTTCTAGTTTTTATTTTTGGCATAAATATGACACAGTTTGGACAAAATTACACAAAACTAGCTTTTTGTAATTTTTCAATAGCATCCTGTTGCAACACTGGAAGTTTTTTAAGATAGGCATTAGACATTCTAATGTACTGCTCCCAAATTTGTTAAGAACACATGTATAGTTGTAACATTCACATAAATTTTTGCAACACATGCACCAAACAGCTTTGTTATTGGAAGTATAGTGCATATTTTTCTTTGATTTATTATTGTATATATTTCAGGTTAATTCAACCACTCTACTTTGACATAAATAAAAAGACATACTGGTTTGGTATTAATTAAGGACATTTTATAAGTTGAAGTGTAAATCAAATGAGTGAGTGATCTGATGGCATAAGATTAAATAAAATAAAAATGTAACAAAAATGGAGACTTGCTGGATTTTTGAAGTACTAACTTTTAAACATCTTTTAAAACTGCTACTTACATGAGTGTGTGTGTAAGCCAGCTGATGACACTTTTGTTGTTGTTGTTGTTGTTAGTCGTGAAGTCGTGTCCGACGCATCGTGACCCTATGGACAACATTCCTCCAGGCCTTCCTGTCCTCCACCATCCCCCAGAGTCCACTTAAGCTCACATTATCCATCAATAATCAGCACACTTACACACAGAGAGACACATGCACACCATACACATCGGTACAGAGACAACACTAAGCAAAGGAATAAAATGACACTAAAGGGAGCCATGTATAGGATTTTCCTGGTAAATATTAAGAAGCTGGTAAGAATCATCTTGTTCCAATGGGCCTCAACAACATGGTTGAAGTATTTGCTCCAATGATTAGATTACTGTTCAATTTTTGTGGAAGTAGGTTATGTTTGTCTTTTGCTGATATGGTGTTTAGCATTTTATTGTTCTTTTTACCTTTTTGTTTTGTTTTATTATATGTTGTTTTGCTTCAAAATCAGTCTATCAGTTTTAATATCAATAAATCAATCACTAAAACTAATTATTCTACTGCTACTGCAACACTACATTTGGTGAAATTCTGTATTCTGAACAGCTATCAGATGTGCAGGCAATCTTTTTCACTTGTAATTCAGTATAGCACACCAATATTGTGATTTTTTCCTATTAGTATGAAGCATGGCAACGTTTCCACAATTAAGATTGTATTCTTCATTGAGTCTGATCTTGGTCTTGGCACTTCCTCTCTAATATCTTTCCATCTGAAATCTACATATTTACCATATTTCTCCCAAAGATTTTATTTTATTGACTGTCTGATGTGCCAATAATAGGCAGATAATTCATTCATTTCCATCTGTCTTTGAATGCTACCCATGAACAGTATTCTTTTTTTTTCCCCTTGCAGTAATCACGAACTCTGTGATGAATTTGAATAGACTTCTATTTTTGTTCCAGAATCAAGAGCTGTTTTGAATCTAGAGAACTGTTGCTTAGCAATTCTGTCAACTGGCTGGGCAAATGCTCTCCTTCAAACTGAGGCAAATCACACAATGCATTTTTATTAAGGAATAACCTTGCATTAAAAATTGTAATTTTAGGAGGAAGATCAAATGGACCTTACCCACTATATAAATCTTTTGCTACAAGGGGAGGGGCCATCATAACTAAATGGCTGAGCACATGCTTTGCATGAAGAAGGTTGTAGAATCAATTACCAACATTTTAGCTAAAAAGCTGCAGATAGCAGGTGATGGGAATGAGGTCTGATAGAGACACTGGAGGAATGCTACCAGTCAAAGTAGAAAATAGTGGTCTAAATGGACCAGTGTGGACTCAGTATAAGGCAGCTTTATGTGTTTATATATAATTTTGATTGAGAAGGGACCTGAATTCCAATTTGTCCTAGAGGTGGATGGTTTATTTATTGAACTGAAATTGAAAAGCTTTCACAAAAATTGGGGAAAAGGAACTTTCCATAGAGAGTATTATATTTGAATTGACTTGAGGAGGAAAGACTGGAGGTCTTTTAACTGTAGCACTATCTAAAGGTTTATTTTTACCCATAGGGATAATGGAGAATAAGTAAACCATTATTTGCATCTGTATTTGCATCTGTCCATGTATTGAAACAAACTACAAAGCAAACCTCACCTTGTTTTTGTTTTGGTTTGATATAAAAGTCTTCCTTTTAAAATATGGTTTTCAAAAGGGCAACCCAGGGTTCTATGCATGACTCACATATATTTATGTTCTTATCAAAAATCCTGTTTTCAAAGGAAGCCTTAGCTTTGGCAGCTGTCCCATAAATAAATGGTTTACATTTTTTTTCACTTTTGCAAGCAACTAGATTCTCAGGAAAGGGTAGCACAATGAGAAGTCAGGTCTGATCAAAATTTGGTGGATCTCTCTAGAACAGTTGATCTTATTAACACTCCCTTTTGTGAGCAAATGACTTTGCTTTCACTTGACCATTCAAGCTTTTGATAGCTGTCAAGTGAGTGCAAAGTAAAACAAAAACAAAAGAACCCTATTTGCATCTTCTCTGGCTCAATTTCTATTGTTGGTGATTGCAGTGCTTGATAGCAGATACTTCCCAATCTGTTGCCCAGCCAAAACTTTGTTTCAGACAATGCAAGCATGCAATTAAAAAAAGACTAATGAAAAAAATGTGAAAATGTCTTTCAACTTAAAAAAAAGTGGTGAAGCAGTGACAGACCCTCTGATGTGGCATTTGGAGATCACAAAAGGTGAATGTTAGGGGTAAAAATGAGGAAAAGAGGGAAGAAGCAGTGGTGGGCAATAAAATGCTTCTGATTATGATGAGGGACAGTGAGACAAGGACAGTTGCTCTATTGTGTTGTTTGCATACTAGTGGGTAGGTGGCAGTGGTAATGGCCTGGGGAAGTTTGGCAAGAGCAGGAAGGGTTTTTTCCCACTCTTACCAAGTGGCAGACTCATAATGAGCTATGCCCACCATTCCAATCTAGAAATCAATGTTTCCATTATTTTTGGAGCTTGCTTTATGAGGTACTAAATTTCTATTGCACAAAGTGGATGAGTCTGGCATGTTCAATAGCTTAGGTGGGCTTTTAGCAGCCCCATTAGAAAATATAATAGGGAAAACTATATTGTTTCCAACACCAAATATCCTCTCACATTTGACAGCTTCAGTGAATTTCACTTAGTTCCTTTTCTTAAATGTTACTTTGGAATATAACTTTTCATGCTGATCTGATACTTAAATATATGAAAGGCTGTTATACAGAAGGTGGAGAAGCAGGACAAGATGCAGTGGCTGGTGGTTACAGGAAAGTAAATTTTGTCTAAACATTAGAAGAAATTTCCTAATAGCAAGGTCTGTTTGCAGTATAGCTGGCAGCCGGAAGAGGTGGCTGGTTCTCCTTTGCTAGAAGGTATTGTGCAGATACAGGATTGTCCTCTGTTGGGGTTGCCTTTGCTGTGCCATGCAGTGCAGATCCAGCATTGAAAAGTAGGTTGGACTAGACAAACTCTAATGTTCCTTCCAGCTGTGTGGTTGGCTCTGTCAGTTATATAATTGCTTTATGAGACATTGTAGCTTTCTCTGCATATATCAGTTTGAATGAAGGATTAATTAACCATACAGAGGACTAAAACCATATGTTAAATGTTAAACATATGTTTAAGTAGCAATAGAAATGGCTTTTCTGTCAGGCAAAGCAGCTTTGGGAGAGGTAATTTTCAGCAATGCAGTGATAGGTTGGATGAACTTATTTTCAGCTATAATTCCTTTATCAAATCATTTTTCTACTCTTCAGGCTTTCAACCCAAGGATAAACATTAATTTAGAAATGCTTATGGAAAATTGTAGCAGAGAAGCAGTGGGTGGGAAAGGTGCTGACCACTCCTTCCTTCCATGCTGCTCCTCTGTTGAAATTACCCTGAAACTGTTTTCCCATACAAAAAATAGCTATTAAGATTTAAAGCATGCTTTGGCTTAGTTACCCTGTCAGCTGTGAACCATGTTATGTTTTGCAATATCAAACTATGTTTAAGCTTTATAATGGAAAAACTGGCAGAAATATTTTGTCCATATGTAGTGTTTCCAGAATAAACTTACATAACGTTCAATATCTTAAAAAATAGCAGAAACTGATATTTGCAAGAGGTTTTTTTAAACATATTTTTCTGGAAAGTTTTGCTGCATCATTGTGTCAGAATCTGGGCTGCTCTGATGCCAGAGCCAGAACAACCACCACCACTTTATTTCCAGTCTACTGACTAGCACCAGGCGGAAGACCTGGGGAAAGAGCTATATACCAGTAAGAACAAGCTCTTCCCTACAGAACTAGAAACAATGTACTGTAGTTCCTGCCATGTCTCCTGCCTTGCCATGCCACCTCAGCAGCACAGGTTCGCTGCTTGCCACTGTGTCTGCACCTGACAATTCCTGTTCCTGGTTCCTACATTTCCATGTTGTCTTGCTGTCGTGCCTTCCTCTTGCCTATCTATATTTTGCCTTGCCCATGTATCTTGCCTTGTCCAGGTACCCAGCCTCATCATGTTGCCTCAGTAATGGAGGGCTTCCTGCAAGCTGTGGTTCAGCTCTTGCATCTTTTTGGACCCTTGCTGCATCTGGTTCCTGTTTTCTCCTGCATCTTGCCATGTATCCTGCTGTGCCACGTCTCCCATTTTGTTATCCTGTCCAAAGTACCAGCACCTCTGTTTGTCCCCCTTGTTCTGGACCCTTGGTTTGTTCCTGACCATGTCCTTGTGCTGCCCTCATGCATTCTTCTGGTTCCTGACCTCAGCTCGTACCATCGTTATGCCTTGGACTTTCCATCAAACCCTGCTTTTGGACTCTTTTTTGGCTGAAGTTCTGTTGTCCTGGTCCTGGTGCCTCTGTTGCTCTTGTCTTGTCTTTGTCTCTGGCTGCCCATGACCTGACTGTGGATCCTGACATAATGCAAGAATCATTTTAATAATAACTGAAGGAACTAAGTGCAATTCACTTAAAACTGTGGGTTATCATGATGTGAAAACAGGTCTAATGGATAATCCTGGACAGGTATCTGTAATGCATAGCCATGTTTCCAGTCAGAGAGAAAGGAGTGCATATTCAGATACTAAAGTTCTGTCTATTTTTGCTAGTCATAAGAAACAATACAGATTCAGTTCACAGAGTAGGGGGCATCTACTTTTAAGAAATTTACAAGGGAACTTCAAGTCTTCTGTAATTGACAGCTGTTGCTATGGGTTATCTTGAATCTTTTGAAGGTTAAGTATAATAGTAGCTTTACTAAATCCGATGAAGAACCCATTGAGTTCAGTATCCCTTCTCCAAGAGAGACCACCCAATCCTAGATGCACCTGGCAAGCAGATTAATACAACATAAAGGGAGACAGCCAAGTTGGTTCCTATCATTTGATAATCATAGGAATATTGTGCTGGTCATGAAGGGTCCAGTCTTAGTTGTTAGTAAAAATAATTGGTAACACTGTCTCCCTGTATGTCTTATATATTATGAAATAATCTAAGCTAGTGGAATGAGTGACACTTTTGTGGCAATGAAGTCCCTTAGTGAGTGAAGTAATACCCTTATGCTTCTCACCATAAGCATGAATACCAAACAACTTTGGGCTAGCTACAGTAATGACCTGAATACCATTATTTCCCTCACGGTCACCTTCTTCTTTCTCCACTAAGATTGTTCCCAAAGATGTATGTGTTCCTTGCCTTGGTCACCTAGTCTCACTCCAAGAGTTAACACTAAAACAGCACAATTCATTTCTACACATGGAAACAAATGATACATTCTGGTGCTTACCTATTTTATAACAGCTACAATTTTTTCAGCTCCAGGCTGTGGTAGCTTTTCTACACAGTTTTCCCTTCCAGCCTCATTTCCCAATGTTGATTCTATCTATAGATCTACCACTTTTCATCCCCAAAGCAAAATGAAAGTTAAGCCACCTCTCATAGCTCTCTGCCCAGGCCAACGTTCCAAGCACTGTGATCAGCATGGGACTTTCAGGAGTTCAGGCTGTCCATCACATGTTAGCACACATTTAGAGGATATGATATACAAGGCTGCAGGGAAAAAACATGCAACAAATTCAGGCAAGCATTATTTGTTGATTTGTTTATAAATACTTATATTCTCCCTCTCTCAGCACTCACTTCCTCACTCTCTACTGTCTTTTGTGTGTATAGTGTGTGTGTGTGCATGTGCATGCCAAATATATAACCAAATTGTCAAAATCCTTTATTAAAGGACATTTATTCAAGAATAATGCTTTTATCTGTAGGTTGTATAATAAAGAATTTTCCTTTGGTGATTTCCCTAGATTTTTCTTCTGTGTAATTGCATTTGTTTCACTGTGACCTATCTTTTAAATTGTATAGGATTTAATAACTCTGAACGAACATGCGATAAGGAGTTCATAATACGTCGAGCAGCCACTAATCGTGTCTTGAATGTTCTTCGCCACTGGGTCTCAAAACATTCTCAGGTACTTATTTTTTTACACTTTTTTCATTGAGTGAAAAAAGTTGTCTATATTTCCCTAAACAGTGCTAGAAAATGTTCACGTTTTTCATGAAAGCTCTGTAACAGGAGTATAATAATTTTTGCAATGCTGCCTTATTAAAATAGCCCTTCTGGATATTGCTGATATGGCTGGGGCTGACATGAAATTACTTCCCCTGTTTAGTATGATTTTAAACTGAACCCTGGGAGAAATCCAACAGCAACTGAGAAGCATTCAGTTAGGGTCAAATCATTCCTAGTGGATGAAGGGGAGGAAGTATCACATTGCCCAAGTATAGGAGGGGACGAAATAGGATTACCATGTTACAATAAGGCACAATAACCAGTGGGAGAGGTCAAAGTGCCAGAACAGTCGTGGCACATGGCTGGAGTGGGACATGGTGCTTAGGTGTTTCTATGCAAATTCTGCAAGCCTTAGGGCCAAAACGGGAGAGCTGGACTACCTGGTAATAAAGGACAGGCTAGATAGAGTGGGCATTATGGAAACCTGGTGAAATGGAAATAATCAATGGAATACAGTCATATGTGGATAAACACTGTATAGAAAGACAGGGGAGGGCATAATGAAGGAGGTGCTGCTCTCTGTGTTAAGGGGGACATAGAGTCCAGCAAAATTGATAATCTAAAGTGTGAAGACTCCTCCTTAGTAGCACTGTGGGTAAAAATTCTAGGCTCCAAAACTAACTTAGCCATAGGAGTATGCTTTCACCCCACAGACCAGTAGGCTCAGGATGATCTTGAGATGGGAAATGAAATCAGGGAGGCCTCCAGCAAAGGCTGTACTTAATAATGGGGGACTTCAACTACCTGCACATTGACTGAATAAATGTATGTTCCAGTTCTGACAGGGAGTTTAAATTTTTGATGTCATAAATGATTGTGCCCTAGAGCAGTCGGTCATGGAACCAGAGGGAAGCAGAGGGAAGGCTATCTTGGATTTAGTCCTAGGTGGGATTGCCCAGCCCATAGTACAGTAAATGCTGTTGCACCATTAGGTAGCAGTGACCATGCTGGTATCAGATTTAAGATACTCAGGGCTTTTTTTTGTCACAGAACACACTGGATTGGTGTTCCGGCACCTTTTTTTGACGAATTTTTCCAAGTGATTGTGAATCGCCCTGTTGGGCATAGCAGATCGGCAGCAAAAATCATTAACATAGAGCCTGCGGGCTGCTTGTGTGTTGGCACTGATTCTTGGGGCTGATTGTGAGGGCGCTGCTCGGCTTGGGATCGGTCATGTGGTCGCGTGCTGAATGCTTACTGCCGGTGGCGACCATTGTGTAAAAGTGTGACCCCAAGACGTGAGTTCCGGCACCCTTTTTTTTTTTTTTACAAAAAAAGCACTGAAGATACTGTTAGGTGGAAGACTGACAAAGAGGTTAAACACAGTTACATTTGACTCCAGCACTGGAACACTCTTAAAAATGAGAGAATAAATGTTTCCATTTGGAGTAACTATGCAACAACTGGTGATATCAGCACAAGCAAGAATTGCTCCCAAGGCATTTATTGGTGCAGGTACCAAAGTCCCAATGTGTTCTTTCTGAACAGTCCCTGTTAATGCTGTCAAAACAAGCAGGGGCTGCCTTGAAGGTGAACATTTCAAGGTTGCTGTCAAAGGGGGAAAATTAAAGCAAAATGAAAGCCCACCAACTAGCACAAACCTTGTTGTCCCAAGGTTCTTTGCTGGGTGGGGAGAACCTTCCCCTGCACAAGCCAATCAAGAAAGCATTATCTTTGTTGACATATGAGGGAAGAGAGCAAAAATGGTGGGTAGAGTTTTGAACAGGAACTCCAGAGATCTGGGTTCCAGTCCTTATCTGGCTATGAAGTTTACTGAAGTCTCTTGGGGCCAGGCCAGTTACCAATTCTCAGCCTAACAGCTCACAGGGTTGTTGTGAGGATGAAAGGGACAGGAGGGAAGAATCATGTACTATATGTCACTTTTAAGGAAAATCAGGATTTTGATATAACAAGTAATAAATATAAAAGAAACAGTTGTATAAAGAAAAAGAAAGGTGGAGCCTCAGAAAACAACTGGGCAGAATAGTTAATTGTTAAGGAAATGTGGAAATTTCCCATGCTGGAATTTTATTCAAGGAAAATTTGTGTAGGCATGCTTTAAGAAACAGTTCAGCAAAGAATGACCAATGAAGGGACTACCCATCCACAGTTATTCGTGAATAAATCCCGTAATATGTAGTACACTGAAATATAGTACCATAGAATAAATCAATGCTTTGCATCTACAGATGAGCATGCTGTTTTATTTTAATATAGTATACTGATGAATTAAAATAAAATTATTATGTTTGCATCTTCTTTGTGTGCTTAATGTGCTCAGGATCCTGAGAGAGAAAGATATTTCATACTTATTAACAGTTATTAGAACATATTCATGTAGTTCAATCATATAGTCTTATGCATGTTTATACAAACTGAATTCCACTTTGTTCAAAGACATATTTCAGAGCAACTGTGTATAAGATTGCAGTCTAAATGATCTAGCAACATCAATACTGACATGAATGAGTCTTAATAATTGCCTGTATACTTTACAAAACTGTGCTATCATGATGTACTGAATTTCACATTATCTTACAATGTAAACCTTTTTTTTTTTAAAACAGTTTACATGGTTCAGTGAGTTTGCATGATTTCTTCTCTTACATAGACAAGATGCATAGATACCTATACTTATTCCACAGGGTTTAATTTAAATATAAGAATCACAAAAAGTATTCATATTAACTTCATCTTTCTCTTGGGAGAGCCTCAAATGTATTTGTACAACTAAATACCAAATTTGGCACTTGTGTGGTTATAATTAAATATTTGCTAGGGTTGAATTGCTCCAATCGAAAGTTGAGTATGGGTATGAGTAGAGTTTATTACTTGTAGAAAAAATGTTTCTGTTGGAACTGTGTAAGCATAGCCCCTGGTTTGGAGGAGTTAGAAAATACTAACTTGTGGCAACTTAGAACCAAATTCCATGTCTTAATATTTAAAAAGTTGAAGTGAAAGGCTTTGATCTTCTGCAACCCTTCAGGAAATGGGTTTTCTTAGACTACAAGCCAAGCATACAATCGGTCAAACC